GGAGGCGGTTATTGCTTGGAGGGAGAGTCCCCCCTCCCTACAGGAAGCCACGACCACGTGTGTCAGCAGGGAAAATAGCCGCGGATCCTGTTTGTCACCAGATGCGGAGTTCGCGAACGGAAGCAAAATTTTGCAAATGGTGCTGTTCGTGACCCGAACTGGTCGGGAACAGAAGCGTTCGTGACCCGAGGTACCACTGTACTTTGTAACAGCTTCCTCTAACACACTGGGCTTTCAGTAAGTATAATGTCAACAAAACCTTATCCTTGACTCTACAGCACTGGTTCTCAAACATTTTAGTCTCAGGATCCTTTACATTCTTAAAAATGACTGAGGACCCAAAGAGCTTTGGTTTATATGGGTTATATCTATTAATATGTGCTGTATTAGAAATTAAATTTATTTGACTTCATGGATCCCCAGACCACACTTTGAGAACCACTGCCCTACAGGATGGTTCATAGTTATCATTATGATTGATTATATGCCACTTTTTTTGATTGATTATATGACATTTTTTACTCCTAGTGACTACATAGATAGATTTTCTTCATGACAATCTATCCCTACCATAGTTGTACCAAGCACAAATTTTAAAAAGTATAAAAACCAGGAAAAAATTGTGGACAACCATAGTAACAGACTCATTTATAAAGGGCCAATTCTGCTATTTCAAATTAGCTCTGCTGTTGGTTCACATCATAGGAGGGGGTAAGCAAGTAGGTGCAGAAAAAGAGTAAGAAAGAGTAAATCAAAGAAATTGACCCAAGGTAAGAAAAAGAAAAGGAAATAGAACCAAATCTATTTAAATCAAAGAAACTGACCCAAGGTAAGAAAAAAAATGAAATAGAACCAAATCTAATTTACCTCAACACCATTCATTATACCGGTTGTCTCATTAACTCCATCTAAGTGCAACTTTTGTGGTCTTTCCTTTGCTCTTGACCCCTTCATTCTTTAATTTCATTCATTCTTTCTATATGATCAACCACCTAAAACTCATTTTTATGTTCATGCTTGTTCAGCACCATTAATTCTTGACTCTCTCTCTCTTTGTTTTATCACACAGTATTGAACCTAATCTGTCTTCCACCTGAAAAAGTTCAGCAGACTTTGGTATCAGAGAATTCAGAAACATTGGAGGCACTAAAATCAAAGCTGAGCATATGATTTGCTACAGAGGAATTAAAGGAGACAAATGTTCCAGTGAAGATAAAGGAGATGATGACATTGCTGCCTTTTTTCCATTTTTCCCATGCAGAAGGGCAGAATCTCTTTTTGACTCTCTCTCAGTACCAGAACATGAAGTTTATTATATAGAATGACCTGTGCTGTATTAATTCCTGGATCAAGATGGTTAACTCAACATCACCCACAAGATAGCTGTGCTGATATCATGAAGAGCCAACCAACTGTTCTGCCAAGGGAAGAGGCCGTCAACCAATGAAAGCCAAAGGAAGGGCAATGGTTGTAGGGCCCACCATGCCTGTTGCCATGGGTGCTTATTCCTAAGGGAGTGCCTGCAAGTACGATTTCTAAGGCATTTCTTGATTATTCTGGCAGCATATAATAATAATAACTACTACTACTACCACTACAACAAAATATTTGTCTGCTGACATAATTTACTGGCACAGTAGGAATACTTTTGAAAGGGTGCCCTACAACCCATAGATCCTAGCTATGACAACATGGCTCAAAACCCCCAAAAGAGCATTTTGACATTAACTCCTACAAATCATTCAATATCAAAAGCTCTCAGAAGTTGGAGAAATAAAAAAAATGTCTTAATGGATTGTTTTAATTATGTAAGCAATCCTCAGCTATGCAAACAAGTAGAACAGATTAAGTTCCTTAAGGTGTATTTACGGTAACAGCTGGGAGAAGCAACCAGGAGCATGTACAATAAGAATATGCTTCCTGTCCAAAATCACCTCAGTTATAGCAAGTTGCCAATCAGTGCATGCACAGGACCTGTAAGTCTGATGCACAAAGGCAAGTAAGCAGACATGGACTTCATTTCAGCCATTTTAAGATAAAAACTTGGAATCGTCACTGAAAGATTATGCCCAGGAAATCTGTTAGTCTTAACAGCTGCCAAAAGACTCATGTTTATCTCTGCCAGAAAGCGGCTCTAACTGAATTCAAAAATTATAAGGTCTAAATGCAAGCAACCTTACAGCTTTTTTCCAGCACAGAAAGATTTTCATTAACAGAACAGGGAGAAAATAATTATCATCCTCCGCCATCCCCCACCCCCAAGCCAAAATCTGCTCTGGACTACTGTGGCAAGCTTGGAATAGATAAAGTGTACTACACAAGTAGAAGTCCACTCATACAATATTAGATTTCATTCCTAAGCCTTTAACTGACAGAACCTAAAGATAATTTCTAAATACTATGGTAAAATTTTATAATGAAACAATTCTAAAGGATATATCCCAAAGATACCTAGTTAAAAGCAAGACTAGATAAATTCCATGAGGATTTCATTGATTACTATATTGCATTGACTCCTAGTCTTGTGCTACCATATGTCCAGATCTGTTAAATTCTTATTAATCTGGGCCATACTGGCTGGGATAATGAAAGAATTATTCTGCATACCTTAGAATCTCCCTTTAGATAGCATCTAGGAGGCCCAAACACTAACAAAAGTTTGCATATTATAATAAGTCATATGCTTACCTCCTTTTTTAAACTGTTTATTTCCTTCTTCTTTTAATTTTGTGCTTTCATTTCTTCTTTTCTACAACAAAAATATGTTTTAATGAAAATAATACAATAATTAAGATTTGATAGCAGTTTGAAATTAAAATCAATTGTCCATTACATATAGAAACCACTACCAAGTGTTTTATAGGTAGTCCTCGACTTACAACCACAATAGGGACTGGAAAATTCATCATTAAGCAGCGACGTTGTTAAGGGAGGCATCACGTGACCACACCCGATTTTACAACCTTTTTTGCTGCAGTTGCTAAGCAAATCACTGCAGTAGTTAAGTGAGACATCACATGACCACAACTTGCGATCTTCCCTGCTGGCTTCCCCATTGACTTTGCTTATTGGAAGCTGGCTGGGAAGGTCACAAATGACGATCACATGACCGCAGGATCCTGCAACTGTCACAACTGTGCCACAGTTGCCAAGTGCCCGAATCACAATCAGGGGGATGCTGCGACAGTCATAAGTCACAATGATATCTAGAGGCAATCTATAACCACATTAAATTTTTTTTTAGATTAAATAGCTCATGGAACACTCATTAAACTCAATTGGTATCTAATAATACAATGTCAAATTGTTCGTAGAGATTTTGTTAGTTCCCAAGCCTGAAAACAGCTAAGATTTTATAGAACATGCACTACAGCTTATAGAGAAGCACTTTTATTTTATTTATTTTAAAGACTTATATAGTCACCCATATTATAACAACAATCCTGGATGGCAAAATAAAAAGTAAAAATAACCAAAAAAAAAAAAAAACCAAACCATAAAATAAGAACTCATGGCACCATGGGCTGGCACTCTTCTATACATCCACACACCATCTTGCTAGGCCCCAGCCTCAACCTATCCCAAAACTTGTGGGAATAACCAGCTGTCCAAGGCCTTTCAGAAGGCACGGAGGGTGGGGGCCGGCTTGATCTCTGGGGGAATGGTGTTCCACAAGGCAGGGTCAGCTACAAAGAAGGTGCACTTCCTATCCTGCTAGATTACAACATTTAAGGGAAGGGACCTGGAGCCCACCCACCCTATCTGACCTGGTGAGACAGGCAGATATCCTAAGGGAGAGGCAGTCCTGCAAATAGCCTGGTCCCATGCCTTTTGGGGCTTTAAAGATAATAACCAGCACTTTGAATCACACCTGGAAAGAAACTGGAAGCCAGTGCAGTTCATCCAGCAGTGGTGTAATATGGGCAAAAAGTAGAATGCCCAGAACTTTGGACACCACCAGTTGTAGTTTCTGGATGGTCCAAGGGCAGGCTCATGTAGACCACATTGCAGTAATCCAACCAGGAAGTGACCAGAACATGAGTGACTGTACGGCCTCCTGGTCCAGGAATGGCTGCAATTGGTGCATGAGACAGAACTGTGCAAAGGCCTCCCTAGCCACAGCTGCCTCCTGCTCTTTGAGCAGGAGCCATGAGTCCAGGTGGACCCCCAAATTGGTCACCAACTCTGTCCAGAGGAGTGCTTCCCAGGCAAGAGTCAAAGATGACGTACCACTGGATCCAGGAGGCCCAAAAACCCAGAGCCACTATCTTGCTAGGGTTGAGTTGAAGCCAGTTCCTGCCCATCCAAACCCTTACAGTCCCCCAGGCATTCCAGCCAGGGGTGGAAATGTGTAATTGGGTATCATCAGCATATGGATACCACACCTCATGCTGCCAGATGACCTCTCCCAGCAGACTCATGTAGATATTAAAAAGGAAGGGTGAGAGAGTCAAGCCCTGAGGCACCCCATGCTTTGAACTTAGTTTTGCAATTCCAACTCTTAACCACAAAGTCTAGTCACAACCTATAAAAATATGACTTAATACATATAAACAAGGATTTTTTAAAAGTAATTCTTACTGTTCATATGTCACTGATGTTTCTAACAAAATTTACTTTTAGCTCTCTGAATAAGAGTCAATCAATATTTGTAGAAAAACAAACCTTATTTGCTACCAATCTCATATACTTTTCAGTCTCCAAGGCTTGGTAAAGATTACAGTGAATAATTTATGAAACTGCCACCTAATCAATAGTTGGACTGGAAAAGAGGTTTGAAGACTGGAAGTTGTACAATCCCCAGCACATGTCGCTTTGTTTGTTTTTCAACTTCTCACAAGGCCTAGCCTCTCCATTCCTCCTCCCTTCACCTCCTAGTCCCTCACTCTTTTCATAGCCCTTTAGTTCTAATTAATTTGCCATACTCTCTATCCCAACTTCCCTCTGGCACTCACTCCCCCCATGATCCTTTTCTCCTTACATCCATGATAGCCAGGCTCCAGTCCTTAATAATCTTGGCTCTATCCCAAATCTGCTTCCTTGATCAGGACCTATGACATCACAAGAACTCAACCAGTTTCAAGGCAACAGTCTACCCTGAACAATGGATATAACTAATACATACTTCAGGTCCTGTTTTAAACTAGAAACATCTAAGACAACCCGCATCTAACACTGCTACCAAAACACAGATAACAGTCATCTATAATATCAAATAGTTTGGCTGACTTTCATTTTGAAAAATAGACTGCTTCAAAAACATTCAATTATATTGACTTTTCACATTTATACATTTGAATTTCCAAGCACATTAATATTAACAGAATACTCCAAGCTACATTAATGCTTCAAACATTGTTACCTTTTAGAAGCGTAACAGCAAAAATATTTCATTCCCCCCCCCCAAACAATACAGCATCCAATGAATTAAAGTTAAGCTAAAATGTATATTGAGAGGGCCAAAATTTAAGAATCAGGGAAGATATTCAAAGGATAAAAATGGATTTTTGTTCAGTGATATGAATTATGTATTCTCTTCCATTCTTTGATATTAATCCAGAATGAATACAAATTAAACAAATCCCAGAACAATCTCCCACATCTTACCCTCCAAACATACTAAACTACAATTCTCATCATTCCCAACTAACATAGCTAACACATCTGGAAGGAAGGAAGCTATGGAATACTAGACCAGGGAATAGGAGTTTCAACATAGTCAGGTTACAACATACTGTGTAGCTTCTCAATAAGTAACAAAAAGGATTAGACAAAGCAAATCTCTACAGAGTTGCTTATTGTGTGTATTTTAGGTGTGACTTCAGCCTCCTCAGACACAGGTTGTACGCTGACTGGAAAAGCTTAAATGGAAAATTCCATGCTTATGTACATATTTTGCTGAATCACACATCCTTTTCACTCACATGGAAAACTAGCTCTCTGCATTCAAGCAGTCCAGTTCTATCTGCAGACAGGGACTTTGAACAATGCTTCATCTGTGCTTTGATTCTCTTTACAAACCGGATTCCATTAAAAAATTACAAAAATAATCTCCCATCAGCATGGCAATTTAAAGCTATATGTCAGAAATATTGATGCTTCGGTTAAATGGGAAGCATAACAAAATGCTTAAATATTAATATGGATATGGATAATCTTGAAGCTGAGTGAAAGCTAAAAAACATGAATCTAGAAAATTAAGCTCCAAACAAGAAAGGCCATACTACTTGGAGGCATCACAGTTAGCACCTCTTGTCAGTGAGGCTATTCTCACTTTAACAGTAGTCTTCTTTACAATGGATCAGTACACTGAACCCAACCACCAGTATAAGCTGCTGTTTCATCCAGCTCTTCTTTTGAACTGTAATTAGTCAATTTGCAGGTAAGTCAAACTACACTGAGACTTAAAAGTCCATGAGAGTCTCTTACACTCAAAATCCAAGAAAAATATAGACTGCATTCAGCTATTTGGAAGATGCACACTGCCCGTTTCAGATTTAGAGAATGACAAGCAAAACATAATGCAATATGCAGAACAAATAAACTAATCAAGCAAAACTGTGATAAGAGAAAACTATGACACAGGATACTTAACTATATGAGCAAATAATGACAATGCTTGCAATTATACGTAGCAGGACCAGAAATGTCCTTGCACATTCCTTTATCACACACAACAGATATGAAACAGGGGAAAAGGGAGAAGAGAAATCAGAGTGCTGTTACAGTATTTATCCCCAAAAATGTTACATATTAAAATATTTACTAACAGACTGCGACCTAAATGTCTATACATATCAACTAGGAAATAGATTTCATGCAGCTCTGTGGGAATACTTCTGAATAAATATGAAGACAGGCTGCAATCTCATGCAGTCATTTGGAACTCATTTTGAAATAAAATTTGGACTGAGCTGCAAGGAATGTTTAACAGCCTACATATTAGCACTCCAAGTAGAAATACAGAAATATTTTTGTTGCAAACAACTGCAGTCATTTCCAAGCAAACATATTTAGCATTACAGTAATAATAAACAGCAATTAAAAAATATGTGCAGCTTTATATTAAAACATACCTCTTTTTCTTCTTCTGACATGTTTTTTTCCAGTTCTAGCAATTCTTTTTCATCTAGATCCACTTGATTTTCTGAAGAATCTGTCTCACTGTTGTGATTCTCTTCCACCACTCCTGATTCAAAAGAGTCTTTACAATCATGGAAGAGATCATCTTCTCTACCTGAGTCAGACAACTGACTTGCACTTTCTTCAACGACTTTGGGGACATGAGTATTATGTGCAGGACTGCTCTGGTCTTTCAAATCCTCAATTAATTTTTCAGGAGCAACAGCATCTTCAGACTCCATGCTGAACCTGCAATCCAAGACAAAGAAAAAAAAATTACACAAGGCCTTTATATATCTTTAAAGAAAAATATACATTTTAAATACATATCTTTAAAGAAAAATATACAAATATACAAATCTACATTGAAAAAGTCTAGTTATACTACTTTTGACACTTTATATCACTCAACATCACTCAAAATGGCAAAAATTTAACTAAAGAACTAACAACAATTAATTTAAATCCATTTTGCCTCTGTGCAACTGACAGGAAATTATCACTAATTGCAACTATTCTCAAGGAAAATATTAAACTGTAAAGAACTATATTGGCTACATTTGCAAGACACACTAAACCACACTTATCCATATTTAGCAAAGCTTATGCAAACCCAACCCACATTGTTAGCACATTATTATGTTGTGCAAAATCAGGAGAGAGAGATAATTGAGTAAATCAGGATTTAATTATTGGCAAGCAAGTTGTGTGAACACAGCCCTTAAGTCAGACCATGCTGACTCAACCCACTGCTCTAAATGCCACTAGCTTTCTGCAGTCTCATATAAGGTCCTTTCAAACCATTTTCTTTATTCCACTGGAGATACTAGGAACTGAAAATTTAGCAGATTGATCACTTAAAGGGTATCCTCTACAATGAATTATGTTTCTTTACTGGAGTCATATAATACTTTCAAGATTCCCCTCCCCCAGAGTTCTAGCTCACTTTTACCCACCCACCCACCCCACGACATATGCTATTCTTTAATCTGTATCCAATAATCTCCATTTCTAAGCAACAAGCCCGACCTAAACGGCCAGAGTAGGCACCAGGAGAGCAGCACTTCTGCGAGCTGATCCCACCATCTCCTAACCGAGAGACAAAACCATGCGACTGGAAATCAAGAAAAGCAAAGCCCCAACTCTGTTTCATAGTGCTTTGAAATGCGCAGAATACAATCCCTGAACATTTTAAAATCAGGAACCAGAGGCTCCCCCAGCACTTTCCAATGGCAGTCTGGACGGAAAGTGTATCAGCAAGAACGTCGAAATCTCCGGCAAGCTGGTCTGGGTCTCACATTTTTCCAAACCAGACTGGGACCCCTTCCCTACCCCTCTGCTTGCCTGAATCTACCAGGCCTCCAACTGTTCCCCTCACCAGCAACCTCCTCCTGCTCCAACCACCCCCGATCTCCAGCGCACCCCAACCCGGCTTCCGCACGGGAAGGCCGCTCAACCTCCGCCTACCGACTTCACTTCACGCGAACTTCTTCCTGCAGGTAGGCCTCCCCCCATACACGCCACTTCCGGTTTCTCAGCCAAGCTAATTACAGTAAAACGTAAATCGTCGGGAGGCGCCGAAAGCTCCAATCAGGCGTCTCCGGACGAAAGGGACGACGGTGACGTCACATGCCAATCGTAGGGAGGAACCAATTGCCGCAGACGAGGCGGGATGTTAAAAATAGGAGCAGAAAACAAAGCGTCTTTTTGTATGAGGGTGACTTTGTGCGTGTCGTTCCCGGTCTAATTTGTTTATATTGTTGCATCCTATATTAAGGTTAACGAGGGAGCAGTGAATCAATAAGGAATGATCCCAACAATGCCTGCTCTGTCCAGACCTGGAAAGCTCTGAAGCGGGGGCTGATATTTGTTCCTATTTTCTCTCTTTCGTTTCTCTTAAGTTTTATCGGTTCTCGTGTAACTGCGCGGCAGGCAGGAATTCAGAGCGACATCCCTTAAGGAGCTTGGCAGCTCGGCTTTTGTACTTCTGAGCATATGCAGAGTGCCTTTCCCCGCACTCGTTTACTAAGAGAATTTTCACAACCAGCTTCTGTTGCCTTTTCTATAGTGAAACAAATTACTTGGCTGGAAACCGTTCTGTGATGACTGAGTGTCCGGCTGCTTTACATGCGGGCCTGCCTTCCTACTTTAGGAATAGCTTCACAATGGTGGCCTGAGATAAACAACAGTCAGCGCGTTGTCCAGATCAAACATTAGGGTGGATTGCAGCAGCTGATTGAAAAGCAAGGATAAGAATTGTTTTTACAAGGCCGCTCGGAATCTTCCTTTTCATAGGTAAACCTTAATCTATGAGGTCACAGCAGGTGGCTGCCCTTAGCTGACTTTGGGTGATCTCAGAAAAAGATTAACTAAGCAGGATCAGCTCTGGTTAGTGTTTAGATGAGAGACCATCAGAACATCCTAGGGCTGTAGCTTAGCTAGGGAACTTGAAAAGTAGTTCTGAAAGAAGGTGGCAGCAAATGACTTTTACTTTGTTGCCAAGAAAATTAGTAGATGTGCCCATGAATTCATCAGCCTTAGATAGTATGTGATGTTTTATCAATGAAACCCCCCAGCATGCACACACCCAATCAAAATTATTTAAACCACCTTAGATTAAGACTATAGATCTGGGCTGCATAAATCCAGGTGATCACCAGCTGGCAGCAATGAGATTCAGCACACCTCTAATTCCCTGCTGCCATCTAGTGGTCATCTGGGTTGTTGCCGCCCAGCTCTAGTAGCCCTATTAGATACAATGCTCCTTGACTTGGGAACAAAGGGTGGAGGAGTTGCAAGTAACTGTTTTGCCTCAGGTCAGAGAATAGGTATAATTTGTTTGTTTATTTTCTACACCCCTCAATCAGACAATTCTCAGCAGCTTACAGCCTGTATAAACAAGAGTTAAAGCAACCACAATGAGGTTAAGAACAAGCATAAATAATAACCCTAGTCACACCTGCACTCACATAAGAGCAGAAAAACTATACGAAACAAAGAATAAAACAACAGAAAGTAAGATGGTATCAGAGAGATTCAAGGAAAGGTCCTCCGAAACAACAGATATCTTGAACCAGGACCAGCCCAGGACTTTCTTAATGTATCTTGAGAACACTGGTGTGGACCGAAAAACAAAAGAAAAAGCAGTGAGATGCTAGCCTCTGGATGGAGCAATGTCCACCATATGACCTGATTCCCACATCACTAAGCCATGGTTTATAAGGTACTGAATAAATCACAATCAGATGCACTAGCAACATTCTAAACCAAAAAACATTGTTGACCACCATGGCTGGGTTCATACAACACATTAAGCCCAAGCCAACAAATTATGTTTTGACTAAACATTTTTTGCAAACCAAATCCTTAAGGTGATGTTAAAGTATAATTAGAGAAGATGCTTGTCCTTGCCTTTAAAAGCCAATGGGTGTAACACTTAGAGGGCTCGGCTAGAATTGGGGATAACCAAATTTAAAAGCCTACTGAGTCATGAAGCTATCTAGGTCTCACCAACTGCTGATGCTACTTACCCTGTGAATGAAAGGAGAATGGGGAGAAAGTGAAATATGAATGTTACTTTGCACCCTAGAGGAGATGAGAGAGAAATGCATAACTGCCAAATAAAACAAAGCAATACTTTCTTTTATTAAAAGTTGTGGTCCCTGGCCTCCTCCAGGTAGACAAAAGCCAGGGTGCTGCATTAACCCATAATGTAATGCTGAGCTACCCAAACTTACAGGCGGTGGTGGAGCCGGGAGCACACAGGCCTGCTGAATCAATCTTACAGCTTTCGAATGACCTAGAAACTGGCCTAAGCTTCTTTAAGCCTTTCCAAAAGAGACATCATTCGATATCCCTTTAGGACAGTGGTCATCTGCATAGTTACCAGTGGGGGAAAACACAATGAAGATGCAGAGACTTACAAGTGAGTAAATGCACACAAAGCTGTACTGTACAACACTTTAAAGAAAGACTACCTCACTAATTGGTTCTTACATTGTAACACAGCATACAAAACCTGGAATGAGTTTAATTTAACTCCTGGCATCTATCACAAAATAAATACATCTAGGACTGGGCTGCAAATCTTGGCAATTCACTCAATTTCTCCAAGTAAACAATTTGTTCCTTTTCCTTTAGATACTCAGAACTGTTGCCATCCCATCCCTGCCTATTTTTTTCTCAAAAAATGAATGGTTTTTAATTATATTTCATGTGTTGCATGATCTAACTCTTAGTCATCTTTGTTGTTTTTCTTTTTGATCTACCATTTTTTACCTTTAAATGGTAAAAACCTGCACAAACATTTCAAAAATTTGCAGAGCAATAGAGCTTCAGTTGGCATCTTGTCTTTTATAGCCCTCTGCTGACTATGAATGCAATCCTTGGTTCATCTTTGTGCCTCAATTACTATGTCTTCCTACCCCTTTGATTTTTGGAAACTTCTTAAAGAAATATGTTTTTTCTTTGTAATAACCAGATGTGCAATGTCTATCTTATACCAACTAAAAGCATTCACCATCTGTAGTAGACTCAAAAGTACACAAAATGGCCTTTTCCTATAAATGAATTTATAAATCATAGATAAGTAAAATAAACTTGATAACTGCAACATGTGGCAAATAGACATATACGCACTGAGCTTTTGACTGAAGACTCTTCTGTATTTCAGCCACACATGATTTGTACATCTAATTTACCACTTGGTGGTATTTATTCAATCATACTAAGCTATGATATTATTTGATTTTGGTGTAACAAGTTTGAACCCAGTTCATTGTGGTAACCATCACAATTTCAAGAAACCCTAGTTAAACTGGACCACAACTTATTGCAGTATGTGATCCAGCCTGTGTATTTCTTGAAACAAAGTAAAATAAGATTAAAGCTGGCCTTTAGGTGCACTAACGGTGCAAAGTTTCTTAACTTTACAAAATAGACACCCTTCCCAATAAAAATATACTTCATTAGAGAGCCCAAATTACTTAGACATAAGCTGTTCATCAGTTCCTAAGTTTTTTGAAACTATGAAGATGATTAGATATGCCAACACAGATGAGTAAATTTTAAAAATCTGAAGTGAAGAAAATAATTTTGACATGACATACAGCAAATTATTGTTTAAAAAAGCTTCTAATTTACTTGACCATCTGGGCTAATTACTTTTGGGATATAAATGGTATTTTGACCTCAACACAGTTTTGGTTGAAATCTTTTTAAAAGAATTTATATTCTCATCTGGGAGAGAAAAAAAACTTCCAAGTAAATGGGAGATATTTAGACTAAAAAGGAATACAATATTAATAACATATTTTATTTATATTATCTGCATAAAATAATATAGTTCTCATAGTGTACTAACCCATAATTGGGCTAACTGTGGTTTGCCACATAAACCAAATTGGTTGGGTTTCCACACCATGCTAAGCTTTCAGCTCAGGTTTACAATACCAATGGACTTAGGTTGTACAATATGCTACGTCACAAATAAGCAAAATATATTATCTCTTAACATCTTGTGTGACTCAGATCACTGATGGGCTTCACACTTTGCACTAAGAGAGTGAGTATGGTGTAGTGGTTCAAGTGTCAGATTCAGCACAGAGACCACCCTCAGCTATGGAACCACATTGGGGGGCTTGGGGATTCTGTACAGTAGTCATTCTCTGCCAGCCCCCTTCCCTCTGGGTGGTTTTTGTTGTGGGGAAAAATAGGAGGAAGGCACACTAAATATGCCGCCTTGAGCTCCTGAAGGAAAGACAAGATATAAATCAAACAAATAAACATGTTGTTGCTTACTGAACAAACTATAGCTGGCTCTGTTCACCCCGTACATTGGTTTCTTGATTTTGGTTTAAACACATTACGGGAACCCAGACAACATACAATAGCTTGCTTTGATTTATGAACTTGGCCTTAGGCATTGCACCCACATAATCTCATGTAGGTTTAGTTATTCTATATCTGTAACACCATCAGAGGCTGATATTAATTAATTGTTAATTTTAAGATTGGTTTCACCCATCTTGCTAACCCATGGTTTAATAGTAGTTTCTGTAACAAGCCACAATTAGCTTGGTTCACACAGCCGAACACCTTGGAAAGCTGAAATAAAACCACAAGACATCTAGTATGAGCCAAGCCAATTGTAATTTATTTAATCTATTATTAAATCATAGCTTGTGACAATATGCAAAGCCACTCAGTGTCTTCCCTATCACAGTAAACTGTAAAGGGTTCATTCCGTTTTGGCTTACTATGTTATATGAATCTAAACACTGTGGATAGTAGATCATGGTTTGAGAACCATGTCAATTGAAGCATAACCAGGTTACA